TTGACCTAATGTGGTCCAGTGAGGCTTCGATTCACATGTAATTAGTAGTTATAGGGTTTATGCTCAGTGCTTTTCTGCTTCTGACAAAATACCATTTGCACGTGCACACACATCCTTGAGATCTTGACATCCCGGGTAAGTTTTGGGGGAAATTTCCATGCTATGTAGAGACCAGGTTGGAGAGATTTTACTACAAAAACAATGTTGATGATGATAAGATAAAAATAACAATCATGGCTCTCTCAGAACAAAGGCATCAGTGAGAGTCAAGCTGTTCTTCTGAAGAATAATAATGCCTAGCACTCCACTGTTAAAAAACACAGGGGGACAATTCCATGGAAGGCTGGGTGAAAGCCTTCCTGGGCGGAAGGTGCCTACACACAAAGGTAAATTGCCTCTTCCAGGGCAAGCCAGGAGGGGACCCATTCACTTCATGTGGGTGAACACGCTTGTCCCAAGAGGCTACTTTACTTACGTTTCCTCCGACTGGCTTGGGCTCATTTGTTTTTATATCTCAAATCTACGGGTAGTCCTTGCCTGAATGGCATGTGATATTATAAAACACCTTTCAGGATGCCACTGCCGAAATGGAGGGCTCTAAACAAATGTTCTCTTAGGGCAGTAACTCCTTAAGATAAGCTGCATTTAATAAAACTGGTAGTGATTCTAAAAAGAAGAGGGTGAGGCGTATTCAGAGAAAATGTCTGGAAGAAATTTGCAATTAATATTTTACAAGACATTTAGATTCTGCAGATTCCTCCTTGCTGTTAAAATTTAAGAGCTTTTTCAAAACTGTATTCCTCTCTGTTATTACATCTTTAATTAAATTAATTTATACAGTGAATGCTCTAATGATACTGCTGTAGATTTTCAATCAAAAAGTCTTATTACTAGAGACAATATGTGTTAAGACCTTGAAAAAAGAATGACACACTGCTCATTGCTGACACTGGCACAAGGATATTTGGCCCTGACATCTGATTATTGAAAGGATCTTGGTCGTTTTTCTGTACCTCAATTTAAGTCTGTCTTTATTTTTTAATTGAGTGAAATTAGGTTAACATAAACAAAATGGATCTTGCAAGTTGCCTATATAAGCATTTCTCTATGGTCAACACAACGGCAGACAACGGCATTGCTACTGAATCAACTACCAGCTAGGCTGTGTCTGCCCGAAACCCTCAACAAAGGAGGCTGTCTTTAAGCCCAAGTTGATACCGTGTCAGAGTGGGGACAACCAAAATTTGTCCAAGAACACAAATGGCTCAGCAGTGGAAAAAAAATCAGTCTACCAATGCACTGAACCCAGTGGCCTGTGCAGACACAGTTACAATATTCTCCTCAGGCTATGACAAGCACTACTTACCAGGGATGTCAAGATCTCAAGGATATGTGTGTGTGTGTGTGTGTGTGTGTGTGTGTGTGTGTGTGTGTGTGTGTAAACGGTATTCTGTCAGAAGCAGAAAAGCACTGAGCATAAACCCTGTAAGCACTAATTACCTGTCTGCTGTTCATCCTGCCAGCCAGGCCAGCTAAGGACCCCGCGGACTTGACTTCTGCTATGTCCTGCCAATACCAAGCTTAGTGCCAGGTACACAGTAGGTACTTGATGATCATTTGGGATTTATTAATCTCATCAAATGCCAGTAACTAAGGCCACTGCACCTAACATGTGGCCTGTTGCTCGAGTATCAAGGGACCACTTCCAGAGCAGAGCAAGGTCACACTGAGGGAACGACTCCAGACTTTCACTCCTTGCCCTGGGTGTGGTGCTGTGGGATCTGTCCCCTTCATCTCTACCCTTGCATTTCGAAGGTTTATGTTGAGCGTTTCCGAGGACACAAGGCACAGTGCCTTTCCTTCTCGGTGACACCGCAAGAGGCAGGCTTGGGAAATGGGTCCCCCATGACTTTGCACTGCTCAGGAAGGCCCTGATCCCACCGCCCTCCCCTCCATGTAAAGGGTCTCTCAAAATCCATGCGTGACATCAAAAGCAGGATGCCTTTAAGGCAAAACCTAAGAGTAGATATTCGACTGCATAACAGACCCTCCTATCAGCTCGCTTCTGCCTCCTAACTAACCAAGTTCTTTGTTTCCCTCAAGAAAGGAAGATGGCACAGAGCGGGAGAGCCGGGCCCCAAACACTGATCGAGTTTGGGTACAGGATGAAAGTTCCTTGTGAAACAAAAAACGTCAACTGCAAAAGAAGATTACTTAGAAAAAAAACCCCACAGCATTATTTGATCTTGCTTTAAATTGAAAGTTTTGGACACTTCAGAAAAAAAGACAGCCAGTGACTTTTTAATGGATTTTATCCACAGGAAAATGATTACAACCAGAAAAGCTTTAAAGTGTCAGCTGGTAATGCATTTTTCTTTATCCCTTTTATTTTTATTCAGAAAGAAATTGAAGGCATATGGCAAAGTGCATCATTAATTTCTTATTAATTTCATAATATGAAGGCAACCAGTTAAAATAGTAGTATACAACTTTAAATTACCGAACTCACTTGGTATTTAATGAGAGATTTAGCACAGCAGGGTTTCTGTTAAATTAAGTTGTGCCTTCACATCACAGTGGGAAAACAGGTGTATATTGGTTTAGAATTATGGAAATGTTGACTAATTCCAAGGCTTGTAATCAAACAGCAAGGCACCCTGTAATATTTTTTTCCCCAAGAATATGCATTAATCTTTTTTGTCTGGTCCCATTTCTTCCTGTCCACCAAAGGCTTGCAGCTGAAAGGCAGCTACTTTCATGCTTCTCCTCTTGCTGTGAAGGGTGATGTTTATCAGATAAAGCCACACATAAATGCCGAATGGGGAGCTCTGACCTCATTCACCGTATCTGAAATGGCAGACATAGCAAGTGTGGAAGCTGCAGGGCACGAACCGCCAGAATCAGATGTGACTTTCCAAATGTTCGTTTAACCTGCCTCAAGTCATCGGGCATATGAAATTGAACTAGATCAAAAGGAAACAGAAAATAATCCACCAACTATCTTTCCCAACTCCCAAATGGCTATCCTTAACAATGAGTCTCTCAAATCACCGCCCCTGAATTCGGCATGCAGATTGTTTAGGAAGAAGAGAAATAAAACGTGCAACATTAAAAAAAAAAAAATTGGCAAAACATGCTATTGGTTTGCTAAGAAAAGAGTCAGAGTGAGATATCCCAAACAGAAGCACATTCATCAGTCACTTCTATGCATGTCAACACACCCCATCCATCATGTTAACTCCGGGCTTCTGGAGAGGACCCTCATCCATGAGGATTGCATGCCGCGAGCTGGGCTTCTAGTAGCGGGATACATCCAAATTAACCACACTGTGCATTCATTTAACACAGGATATGATTTGGCATCCAACCAGAGGAAACTCTGAATGCTAAAGAACAGTTCATCACCTCAAGTAATTGTTAGAAACACCCCTAGAAGGGATTTTGTGTGCTAATTACTGTAGAGTATTTCTTTTTAAGAGAAGGAATATAAAGGGGTCTTTGGGTCTGATGGGAGCCCGGGCAATAAAATTGTTTTCTTCTAATGTGGGCTGAGCCAGTAAATATTTGTCTTGGTTCTTCCCATCCATAGGGTGACTTAACGCTGCAATCTCCTAGGACTTACAGTGGAAACATTCCATTCACATGGAGGATGAGGATGGAATGCTACTATTTTTTTCTTTTAAGTCACTGAGCAAAGTGCTTTGACTTATTAAAAGCAGTTTTAGGAAGAACCTCTTTAGTGGTTTCAGGGAGAAGTAGTTAAACTGTGAGGGAGCATTCTGGCACCACTCACTTGCTTTTTTGAACCTTCTATTCTTGGATTTCCTTGCATGAAAGGGGAAAAACCAAAGTGGTATGATTTAAGAACAAGGTTCCTAATTCATAGCTTTGGGGTGATTAAGAAGCTAATGTTTTGAAAACTTTTGGTTGAGCACCTTGCCACCACTAATCTAGAAGATTTTCCGTGGCTCTAGAGTGAATCCTACAATTCCATCTTTTCTGAGGGGAAGGAGGCACAATATTTATGTGTGCACATATGCTAGTGTGTACACACGCCAGTGTTTGTGCATGTGCATGTTTGTGCATCTGTTCAGAGACAGATAAATGACACAAAGTTAGAACTATACCCTGAAAACAATATGCACATTATGCTATCTTTTCATCTTACTAAAGCAGGTTTCAATCAAAATCATTATTGTCGTTCTGGTTACCACAGGTTCTTTCTCATAATCAATGCATGCCATTATGATATTGAATGGACCCATCACTGATATTTGGGTCAGTGGGGAAATATCTAAACGCCTAGGGAAGTTGATACTAGCATAAAATACAGAAAAGTGCCAGAAAACCGTTCAGCAATAATGCATTCTGAGGAAGCTGTTACCGGCAACATCAGTTCATTTCTGGTGAATTGTACTAACCATCAAATATTACTGGGAAGGAAATGGAAAAAAATTGTAAGCTTTGTATTTTGTCCTGTAGCAACATGAAGCCACAAATTGGGCATTAAAACACTGACTTGGTTAACCACCATTGACTGTTTAGGAACCATTAGGAGGCTTAATATTATGGCCGTACAGGGTACATTTTGTCCTTTCAAAAGAAAATCTAAAGACAAAATTTGAAAAGAGGCCCCTGGTGGGTAAAAGCTTTTCCTTTTCCATTTGCTTCTCTTGTCTGTGTTGGTTTCTCTTTTTCCTTTTAAAATCTTAGCCCACCCAATACTCTTTGGCAGCCGCAGCTGCCCAGTGGGGTCACTCTGATTTTCTAACCAGGGGACAGGCTATTTGAGAGTGCTTCCCAAGAGCGTGAATGCCAGCGCTTCTTTATGGGTTGGAAAGCTGGTGTGGCGGCCGCAGGGAACCGAGGGGTCAGCGCACACTCCTCAAAAGACCAAAGTCATTTTTTTGGGGCATGAAGAGCCCATAACTAGAACCTTCAGTTGAAAGGACCATTTTCAAGCAATAAAGTGATTCTGGTACAAAAGTAAACCGACTCACCCCAGGTAAAGTTTTAATATTGTGCAGTGCATTCTGGGCCTCAAGTGCAGCTTTTCTTGTATAAAATGTTACGAAACAACAACCTACAGAGAGAAATGAAAAGGTTTTAGAAATTTCTGTGAATGCTTTGCTTAGATATAATGGAGACTGTGGCGAACAAATAATCTACTTAAAAGGATGCACAATTTTAAAATAATAAAGCGTATGAGAACAGTAATAACAACATCTCAAGCATTTACAGTGCCTTTTCATCCTAAATCATATTTATTAGCTTTACCCGCATTGGAGATCAATTCATAACTCCGTGCATCAACCCTCTGGAACACAGCTACTCACGAGGAGGGCGGGGCGGCGGGGGAGGCGTTCGTGGGGCTCGTGGCATGGCAGCCACATGAACGGTACTTAGTCACAGTCGAAAGAGCATAAGCTCACGTTCATCATGATTTTCTTCAAGGGGACTTTGGAAACACTTTCTAAACTCAAAGCCTTACACAGCTGGACGGTGAGCGTCCTGGAAGCTGGGATCATGCCTAATTCTTTTCTTATCCGCACCCCCACGCATCACGCCAACTTCTGTGCATATGACGCTCGATACGTGTCTGCCAAAACGGAAGACTATATTTTCAGTGGTTTGGAAATTAAGCTACAATGCAGCGGGGTACGTGCCCAAACAGATGTCAGCAGACTCTGGCCCATGCACTACGTCTGGTTGTGGCACACCGGCCTCCTTCCTCCTCCTTTTCCAAGAGCCCATGGGAGTCCAGGTCACTCTGGGCAGGCCAGCTCGCACCCTCTTTCCAAGCAGCCTCCTCTACTGGAGAAAATGGTGCTGAAATCTCAGGCCACTCCTTCTGCGCCCTGAAGGAGGAATGGCCTCTTCTCTGACTTGTAGACAAAGCTGTGGTTCAACAACTTGCTCCTCCGTTTCCCAGCATGACCAGTTTGGAAAGAGGGGGTGGGACGAAAACTTTAGAACTTTAAAGATAAAACACGCTACCTTTGATCTGGACTGTCTTTGGTGAGTTGGGTTGAGGAAGAAAGTAAAGCAAGGTATGCACCAAGACTGTGTCTATCAGGATCGTATACACCTCAACTTTACTAAAGGACCTTAACGCACAGAGTCACGCGGGGACTGGAAGAGCCTGGAGAAATGCTCACGTGCCAAGCACAGCAAGCAGCATGAGGGAGGCGTCAGGCACTGATACCGGTTCTATTTAGGGGAATGATGCAAATATGACAGAGAGCAGAACAATGTGGCACGGTTGCAGGGCAGGGAGCTGGCACCGCAAACCCTCCGTGGTTTCAGTCACACATCAGCATTCTCGTTTCTCAAAATAAAAACGCATTCACAGGGGTGGGGGAAAATAAGTATAATCCTATTCGCACGGCATCCTGCAGACATTAAGATGTTTCCTTCTCATCTGGGGGACATTTAGAACCTGCTGTCTTCCACAAGTTAGTCGGATCCCACCGAGATTTAATACATATGAAACCTTTGCCTTTTGGACAAAGCAGGGCTTGACCATGGCTTCTTGGCATTAAAAAAAAACTCTACACACCCAAGGATTAGAAGCCCTTCCGCTATATCCTCTGAATGATGAAGAGAACTGAAAATTATGAAGTTTCTTTAAAGAATCATGGGTGGGGAGACTGACCATTTTTATGCTTTTCACTTCAGCTGTTTTGATGGTGTTTTTTTTTTTTGGTTTTTTTTTTTACTGAGCTAATCAACTTTACTAGTGATTTCAGCTTCATTGGCATGACATAAGCCCCAGAAACACCATAGAAACTGCTCCAAGTCAAGGAATGAATTTTAAACAGGGGAGAGTAAAGTCCCAACTTCCAGTAACCTGTTGCAATCACTTCTTTTTTTTTTTTTTTTTTTTGAGTTGTAGTCTCACTCTGTCGCCCAGACTGGAGTGCAGTGGCCACATCTGGCCACCTCCGGCGATCCTTCCGCCTCAGCCTTCCAAGTAGCTGGAATTACAGGCATGCACTACCATGCCCGGCTGATTTTTTGATTTATTGAAGAGATGAGGTCTCGCTGCCCAGGCGGGTCTCAAACCTGCGGGCTCAGGCAATCCACTCACCTCAGCCTCCCAAAGGCGCGGGATTACAGACTGAGCCACCAAGCCCGGCTTGTTGCAATCATTTTTAGAAGAAAACTGCCAACCGTGCTTCACTAGGCTTAGTATAGAAAGGAAAACAGAAAGAGTCTTCTAGATGCTTCTAGCAAGCAGAATGTCAGTAAGTTGTCCTTTCCCTTTCCTGGGCTGTTGGCGTTGGCTTGGAGACAGGAAACAACAGGGACAGTCTGAGATGAAGCCTCCTTTAAAAATTAACGTCTCAAGAAAGAAGAAGAACCTGATACTTTCATGCGGGTAACTTTTGGGGGTAAGATACTTAAAGAAGATTGAGGAAGGGAGCAGTCTGCTTGGCTGACAAGGAGGAAAACCAAGAGTAAGTTTGGGAGATAAAAAATCAAATGGAAGTCTGGTCACACCACAGCCAAAAATGAAAGGCTCAGGTGGGTCTGAAAGGACACCAGAATGGCAGGGAACAGAAAATGGAGAACTAGACACCATGATAACATAAAAGCAACAAGGAATAAATGACCTAAAGCGAGAGAGTCGTGGGCCTCGTATGTGAGCCAGCGGTCACAGCGCCGATCTCAGGGACAGAGGGGGCTTTCCTGGCTGCCTTATGTACCCGAGCAAAACCCCGGCTTCTTCTCATACTCTGGGAGTCCACCGGTTGAACAGTTCACCTGCTCTTTAAATGGTAAAATGTCACCCTTGAGAAAGGAGACAGTTGTTCCTAGCTACTGCATCTTTGTGTGAATTTGGCTACTTGAGCGCTTTCCTCTTGGCAAATAGATGCTGGGTGGTTTTCATTTTTGAGAAAGGGAAAGCTCTAAGCAGGGTAGGAAGGCAGGCGAAGAGGGGAAAGGAAAGGAGAGAGGGGTCTAATGTGCAGAAGAAGCGATGGGAAGACACCCCAAATCCCAAACTCTTCCCAAACTCATCCAGGGTCCACTCTGCCCATGCAGGTGTAGGGCAACCAGGGGTTTATCACTAAACTCTGCAGAGATCTTAACTGTTTCACTGTACACCAATTTAAGCAAAAGTTCTTTAGGATCGGGCCAAGAGCAGCTCTGTTTCAGCACAACACCTAGGAGTATCTTCTAGGTGACACCGGTGATGTCCTCTCACTGCCTCTCAGTTGGGCCCAACAGCTCAGGTCCTGCTCAGCTCTGCAGGGGAGCCTGGAGGCTTCGTGCAAATTTGAAAAAGCAGTCCCATCTCCAAGTGGGCACAGTCTTGGCCCCTGTTCATGGTCTCAGCTGGGCACCCTCAATCAAAGAGCAACTTGTAAATGTGCGGTCCTGGGTAGGCAAGAGGATTACCCCCAAGAAGGTCTTCTTTTGGTTTCATACATTCAGTTCCCACATGACTTAGGTGGCCATATCTTACTTTCTCTGCACTCTAGTTATCACTTCTAACTCAGTGGATTAAAAACCAGGTCTGTCTAAAATCTCCCCCATCCCCCAAACGATGTGGATATACAGCCAAGTGTTTCCTCCAGAACAAACACCAGAGAGTCAAAATTATTCTTTACTTATATTGGGCTAAAAAAGTCTTCTGTTCCCTTCAGCATGCATAATGATTCACTTAACAGATACTGTGCTTCGTTAAGTGACCTCGGAATCTGCAGGATAAGTACAGACCTCTACACTTAAACAGTCACGTGAGATTACATCAGTCAGCATCATCCCCCGCCTCCTGCCTCCCCTGCCCCTGCCTTGGGACTCCAGTCTGTACATTTCTAGAAATCAGAATGTTTCTGAAAGACTGTTGTCCCTGGGAGTCTTTTCTCGGCTAACAACTCTAGACTTTCTTATCTATCCATCACTTAGTACGCTCACTTATGATCTTAGATTCACTGACCTGCGGACAATATTTCAACCAAAGGAAGAGAGAATTATCATTATTTGCCCCGAAATGGTAGTTATTATGGCAAAGGTCAGGGTGCTGGGAAAGAGCCCAGAGCACCCACGAAGGCTCCAACAAGGATGGCGTTCTCTTCCTTGCCAGCCCTGGCTGAATGTACAGCTGTTGAGGGAACCACCTGTCTCCTAGGTTTCCCACGCCAGCTGTAACTCAGGTCTGCAACGTACCGGATTTGTTTCCAGGTCAGCTGCTGCACCAGATGGCTCGGCAGTCTGACTCGGGGACAGGCCCCCTCCCCTGCACGCTCCGTGGCAAGTGTCCGCGTAAGGTGTGTGGTTAAACGGCTACAACACCCAGGGGCTCTTCCTTGGCTGTATCAGAGGGGACAGTTCCTCAGGCTTCTGTCATCACTTCTGAAAACCCCTTGCCCTGTGATCTGTGGAGTGGAGGAGGGCAAGGCCCTGTTCTTTGTTAGAGAAGGGGGGTGACTGGGCTGGGACTTGGGACCACTGGGGGCCAATGCAGCCAGATGAGTCAGGCGCTTGAGCAAGTCTCTACTTTCCCACCCGTGCCAGTGCTGGTCATTCTTGCTGCTTTACACACTGACTAATAAGCACTCACTCCTACAACACACCGTGCCACTGTCCACCCAGAAGTTTCTGTCAGGGGCGGCAGCCAAGTCAGAAAAGAGAAGCATGGTGTTCCAAGCCCAGGCTACTTTACGAAAGCCCTTGTTTCTACCAATTCAACAGGTCCTTATAATAACAAAAGCTTTGGGCTTGGGAGTGGAGTTGGGGGATCATCCTTCAAGTGTTGCCTTATCAACCCCCTCACCAGGACTTCTTAAATTCACTGATGAAATAGAAACAGTGGAAAACCGGACAGGTGATTCCAGAGCCATCTATCACAGGCTTAAGCCCACACAGAGTCTGGCATTTCCACCACTGATGACTTCTTTTGTTGATGACCGAAAGACCGTGATGATGCCACATATACCGTAGATGGGAACTACATTAAGTCTTACTTGACCACTAGCCTCTTACTGCAAATTAATTCTGCTGTTTAACTGGGAAGATGTAGCAGAACCCCTGGAAAGGAACTCTAGGCAGAGAAAGCATGGAAGACAGACCCTGGGTGGAGTGCATCCCATGGAGGTGGGCACGGACAGTCCTCACAGGAATGACCTCAGGGTAGTCAGGAAGCAGCGAGAAGATACTGGGTACCAAGAGAATGGAGGTGGCACAGCAAAGCTCACCTATTCCCAACTCCCTGCCACCCTTCTGTCTACCTCCTCAGAGACCCATCGGGGGACATGGAGACTTCTGAAACGCAGATTTCCAGAAATTGGTAAGTTTAGCCATACCGCTGCATATGTACAGCTTGTAAAGCAATCTGTAATCAGTATTACAATTGTGAGCTATGATTATATGGTCACGTATACCATCACATAGCTGAGAGTGCAATTCCCAGAGAGGCTGAGTGCTGTGTACACCATGCAAGGTAGCCGGTGTCTGACTATATCTCTTCACTAATGGTTTCTGCTGTCATAAAGAGTTCCCTCAGGTATTTTGCCAGCTTAATTGCTAGATAATGTGAGACACTGTTATGAGGTTTTTGCTGTTTCTGAAGATAAAGCCCCAAACAAGACAAACCAGTGGTGGCTACACACACACACCTACATACACACACACACACACACACACACACACACATACACACACACGCACACGCACACACACACACACACACAGTAGTGCATTTAAAATCATAAAGAAAACACTCAACTTCACTGAAAGACTTTAATTTTAAATGATCAAGTAGATTTATCCTCAAAGAAACCATCTGGATGATCACAAATCTTTTCAAACCACAGCTGTTTCTCTTGAAAATCTTTACTTGGAAACTCTTGGTAATAATACTCACAGGGCAAAAAATGTACTGCTTATGTAAAGATAACCAGTTTACATCATGGTTTGCCTAGAGTCTAACGGCAATTTTTTTTCATTCTTCAGTGTGGAGGGCAGTGCAGACATAGCCCTAGAAAATGATATTACAAGATAAGATTTTAAAATTAATTCTGCCCTTAAGAAAACTGCCACCACACTCATGAAAGAAACTTCCTCCAAGGTTCCCAAACCTCAGTAAATTGGGGGGTTGGGAGGGGTTGGGGGAGAATGGAACAAAGCTTTGATGCTCTGGAAATACTATTTTAAAAAGGTGATTTTCTCTAAAGTCTTTGACTCTGAATATTGGACAAGGCAATTTTTAAAAATCATATTTGTGTGTCTTTTAAAAATTCACTGGCTTTTTTTCATTTTTGTCTTGTATTGATATGTGATATTTGTGCATATTTATGGGGTACGTGTGGCATACTGATACATGCATACACTGTATAATGACCTAATTTGAGGCAAGAGGTCAGTGACTCGAAAGGTTTTCAATTATTGAAACAATCACACATCATCTGCAGGGCAGGGACTTCAGATGACACACCATCAGTTCACACTGTCCATGGTGGGGCCGACCCCACGTACGGTGGGTTTCAGCGAAACGTTCCTTGTGACGCTCCTGTCACCACCAGCCTGCACTCAGGAGAAATTCTCCTGTGTAAGGTGTTCCAGAAACACCTTTCTGGAATAATCCAGTCCTAACTGCTAATTATTTTTATGATGCTACTCTTTTATTTTATTTTATTTTTATTGTGGCAAATTAAGCATTTTGAGAAACACAAAATAACGGTACAACTTGAAGATTGAGGAGAGAAGGTGAAAAATAGCTTCCTACAATTCTGAGGCTAAGGTAGTCAAATAAAAAGTATTTCAGTTTTGAGCTTACTGAGTTGTACAGAGAACACCTGTCTCCCCTCAGTGAACTCGGTTTCATGGTGAAACCTGAGGCTTGAAAACATGTCTTCAAGGCCTTTTAGCATGTAAACGCATGATATCCACCTTATTTTCTAAATCTAAGCAAATAAATGCTTGAAAACAGCCATAGGTGGATCATCTGATGGTTGAACCCTACATTTTGTTGTTTGTGTGTTTGTTTTTAAACAAAGTCATAGTCCTGGCAGACAATTTCCATGCAAGACATATTCGAATTCAGGACATCAACGAAGTCATCATGGTGTGAATTGAAAATTCTTTCACAGGCTGCCTTTGAATTCTAAGAGGCTGACAGATCAAGGGACTAGTGCCCTGGAAGGCAAAATTAGTGAACCTGCCATGGCTTTTCCTTTCTGTGAATGAAGCTCTCTTTGGTGAAGCATTTGCAGGCAAAGCAGGTGCCTCACTACACAAGTCGAATTGCAACGGGGATCTTGGCTCGTCAAGCCAGTAGCATGCAGGCCCGTTAAGTTACAAGAGGACGGACTCCTCATACTTAATTCCCCTTACCACTTCTCCCTCAATCCCAGCCACTCTGTGGAGAATTTCATGCTTTTTCCCAGAGTCCAAAGGTCGTTGATCTAAGGAGTGTATTTGGTGCTCAAGTGAATCTTCCACACATCAGGCTTTCAACATCAGTCACTGGCTTCCCCTGCCAAGACTTGCACTTTCCACAAAGCAGTTAAAGATTCTAAAAACACTCTATCGAAAATGTCCTGAATCAAATTTTTAAAGAAAACTTAGTATTGACCTTAAAAAAAAAAAAAGGAAGAATTTTTTTCAGTGGACAGAAGGTGATTATATCCTCAGCATCCTCAGGCAAAAGACAAGGATAAGATGCCACTCTTAGAAAGCACAGAGAGGCTTCAGGAGGCCTTCTGGTTCCCTGGAGAGTCACAGAAGGATCCCTCTCCTTAGCCCAAGGTTCACCCACGCAACAGGACTGGCAACAGTACATCACTGTGCCGCTTCTCATGCAAGGCCCCCTGCTCTTGGGCCCTGGGTGCATCCTCCTTGCTTCCAAGGGGTGCAGGTCCGACTGAGCAACCAATGCTGATTTCACATCTGAAGTCCAGCCCTGTGCTGCTAAACACGCTTGCGTATTCCTGCTTGGGATCTCTTATTGCAGCCCCTCTGTGCTCAGATGCCAACCCCAGGTAGCTGTAATGACCCAAAAGGAGAGGACGGAAGGAGAGGTGCGAAGAAAGTGGCGACCAAAGCAAGACTTGATAGCTCAAGGAAGAACCCGCAAGAAGAAAAGATGGTTCTGTTTTGTACCCCCTCCAACCATTTATAGCTGTAAACTCAAAACCAAGCAAAGGAAAATTAGAGGAGGTGAAGGTGGCACTGCTTTCTTGTGGATTCTGTGCCTTTTTTTTTGCAGAACCCCAGGATTTTATAATTAGCTCATCCTGGGACTTAGAAAACAACACCAGTGCAAAAACATTAAAAAATTACCTGACCTACCTCATGTGACTGTTACTGGTAAGGACCCACTTCAGAGAGGGCCCTGCCCCTCACACAGAAGGAAGGAATACATGCTCAGAGCAGCCAAGAAGAGTCTATACAGACAGGCCTTGCTAGATGTCCCCACACAGCCTATTAGCGTACCTTTCTTGTCCAATCCTATGTCTACACGGCTATCTATACTGTGTTGAACCTAAGCATAAAAATGGATAATCTCCCATGTCTTTGGGTCTTTATCCTGAAGGCTCCTGTGTACACATTAGCAAGAGATGTGTCTATCCCTCTCCTGTTAACCTGCCGCTTGTCAATGATTTTCAGTGAACCTTCAGAGGGCGAAGGGGAAATTTTCTTTGGTTCCTACACTAACACTACCAGCCCTCCACGCCCTCCCATTTTTCAGACGAGAAAACACCAGTCCACAGGAGGCTAGCAGACTGCCCCATGTCACACAAGGAGCCAACAGCAAAGGGAAAACCATCCCAAGAAATCTGGCTGAGTGTCCTACAAAGTTGACGCCTCCGATAGGGAGAGCAGCCCTGAGGTACCTCCAACAGGCCCCGCCTCCCTCTGAAAGAGCCCCAAGGGGATTCAGACTCCCCTTGTGTCACCTGAAACACCTTCTTATAACCTAACTCCCTCTGGTTTGCAGCCTCTCTCCAACGGTCATCCAGGGCCAGCCTCTCCTTCCTCCTATCTAAAAGTGGGACTTCCACAGCTCAAACAGCAGCTCCCGGTACAAACGCTTCATCCTGTAGAAGTCAACTTTTAATGAAACCATATCCAATTAGCTTAGTTTTATAGAGTTTGATATAATTGGCACCCTGATGTAAAAAGTATTACCATCTGGCCACTACCTAGGAGGCAGAGCGACAAGGCTGTCATCCCGCTCTCAGCGCTTGGCTTATGCGGTGTGGATTACTAAATGCCATCCCCAGGAATTCCCTGGGGAAGCTGTCTGTTGCCGATGAGGAGGGATCTGCATGCTTTCTCCCGCAGTCTGGGGCCGTCATCCAAGGCTCCTCCAGCAACCCGGACTCATGGCCCCGGCAGGATGGCTCAGAGACAGCACAGTGGAGCCAAGTTTTCAGCCAGGGAGGGAACAGTGGCCTCACGGGGGCTCTGGGGCAGCCCTATAC